CAAACCCCGCCAGGTCCAGCGCGGGGGGGCCCCGGCGCCGGCGGAACAGTCCCCACGCCTCACCAGGTCCACCCTGTTGGACTTCCAGAGCGTGCGGAAGTCGGTGAACTGCTTGAACATGCCCTTGAGGTTAACGATGATGATAGCAGCTAGGATGGCCTAGGAGAGAAGTTCCGTTCGTGGAGCTGAGGGGATAGCGAGAGCCGGTCCCGGGGGCTTATCCCTGTCCCCTCCTGCAGCGCTGGGCACCATGAGCAGAGCAGGAGCTGCCCCAGCCCCACACAGACCCAAAGGGGGTCAGGGCAGATGCCCATGGGGGTCTCCCTCCCTGGATGCCCTGCAGACCTGGGAGTTGGGTGGGCAGGGACAGCCCTACCTTGGGCAGGTCCCGGAACAGCTCCCCAATCTTCAGGATGGTCACTAAGATGACGAGGGACGAAATGACACCGGCCACCTGGCGAGGAGAGAGGCAGTGAGAGGGGCCGAGCGCCCGGGTTCGGGCGGCCCCGGCACCGGCACCAGAGCAGGCGGGAGGTGCTGGTGGTGGTGGCCCCGACCCACCTGGCTGTTGCCCCCGGTGCTCTCCTGCACCAGGCTGCGCGACATGGAGCAGCTGATGGCGAAACACTGGAAAAAGCCGCCCAGGAAGTTGGAGAAGCCCAGAGCTATCAGCTCCTGCGAGGACAGAGCAGGGGGTCAGGAGCACAGCGCCGGCATCGGCTCCCTCAAAGGCCAGGAGGAATCAATCCGTGTTTTATCACACGAGGAAGGTGCCTATCAGAGCATCACCTGGTTGCTGTCCACTTTGTAGCCGTGCCGCAGGGCAAAGATCTTGCCCAAGGAGATGCAGATGGCATAGCCCACCACCGCGATGGCGAACGCGTTGCCCACCACCGACCCGAAGTACTTGATGTTGGGGGCCACGGGCGGCTTCAACCTGCAGCCGGGAGAGGGAGATGCAGCTAGAGGGGAACCCCGCGGGCAGAGGAGCCCCAGCAGAGCCGCCCCAGTGCCGCTCACCCGCTGGGGATGTCGCCCACCACCGAGATGCCGAACTTGGAGTTGAGGTTGGCACCATAGGAGATGCCAGTGGAGATGATGATCTGCAAGGGGAACGGGCAAAGTAAGGCAGAGCCTCTCCGGTGGGGACCGTGCAGGGCAGGACGGGGACTCACCACCCTAGAGCCACCCTTGTGGAAGGACCCAGTCCCACCTGCACCAACCCCGGCCAGGCCGCGTCCTGGGGACACGGCACCGGCCAGCTGCGTCCCTGCAGGGAGTCGCGCGGCTCGGTACCGTGATGAGCTCGATGGGGATGGGCATGGGCAGCTTGGCCGAGAACTTGTGGTTGAGCTCCTTCACGATGAAGATGGCCACCATGGCGATGATGGCTGTCACCAGGGTGCCCACGTTGGTCTTTGGCAACTTCTGGCAGATTTCAATGAAGGTCTAGCAGGGAGGCAATGGGATAAAGACCTGGCCAGCCCCCCGGATGCCCTTCCTCTTCCTCCTTCCCTTGCTCGAATGGAGGCCACAAATGTGGTGACCATCTATCCCCACTCTGGCACAAACCCTCCAGCTCCAGCTTCCAGGTCACAACCTGGAGCAGAAGCAGCTGCTTCCCCAGAAGGATTTTGGGGACCTCAGCACGCCCCACGGAGTGGGGGGCCCCATGGCAGCCGTGTGCCCCCACTCACCATTATGAGCGAGAGCGGTCCTGAGTGCTCGCTCAGGGAGATGCCGAAGACGTACTTGAGCTGCGAGATGAGCACGTGCACCGAGGCGGCCGTGGTGTAGCCGCGCACCAGCGGGTCCGACAGGTAGGTCACCACGAAGCCGAACTGCAGCAGCCCCAGGGCCACCTGGCAGAGGCAGGGCAGGTAGAGCAGGCGCCGGGCAGCCCGCGGGAGCCGCGGCAGCCCCTGCCCAATGGCTCCCTACGGGCCCTGGTACCTGGAAGACGCCCACCAGGACGGTGAGCGTGGCCACCAGCTCCACGCGGGCCGCGTTCAGCTGCGCTTCGTTGACCATCGTCTCGTTGGTGCCGTGCACGGGCTCCAGGAAATTATCGCTGGGCACCAGGGAGTCCGTCACGCTCCCGATCATGACAGAGATGATGGCAAAGGGGCCTGCCATGGGGACAGATGCGGATGGGGGACCTCTTGGCAAAGGACCCAGCTCCAGGAAAGGTGGCACTGGTCCCCTCCAATGCACCCCCAGCTGTAGCTGCCCGAGCATCCTCCCGGTGTGGGGACGGCAGGGACATGTCCCCGTTCCAGCCTGCTAGTGCAGCGAGGCCACGTTGTCACCCCTGCGCCCAGAGCCCGCAGGACCACACGGGCCCCTGCTCACCCACGGAGTTGTGCCTGGACGTCCCGAAGAAGAAGTAGAGGAAGACGGGGTAGAAGGAGGAGTAGAGGCCGGTGACGGGCGGCAGCCCGGCCAGCAGCGCGTAGGCGAGCCCTGCACATGGGGAGGGACGTTAGAGCGGGACGGCCGCGGCCCTCGTCCCCCCGCTGCTGCGGGGAGCCCCGGCAGCCTCGGCGGTGCCCGCGGGAGGGGACACTCACCCCAGGGCGCTCACCCTGGGGCAGGTGCATGATGCCCACGCTGAATCCCGAGATGATGTCCCCCAGCAGCCAGTCCTTGACCGGGTAGCGGGGCAGCCAGCGCCGGAAGGGCAGGG